CCAACGTATCAATATTACCGTACAGAGAACGGCCAGAAGTAAACATGTCATTAACATTAGTTGCGTCACTGCTTATATAATCGTCGTTGTTAATCATCATATGAAACTAGTTTGTAATAATGGAATATATTCGCATCTTTGACCGTATCCAACAAATTGTTTAACTGAAAAAATTCACCTGATACTTCAACGCGTGTATCTCCATTCAGTTGATCAATTGAGCATCTTTGTCCAAAACCAGAAGTTGTCTATGTTCATTTGGTTGATTATAGTTCAGTTGTATGTCAACTATAGTTGTAGTAACCTCCCAATAAATTCATGTCTCTTTCCACTTAACTCTTGCCTCAACCACATCATACAAGCTGTCATAGTCCTCCAAATATTCCATTATTGCAACAACAACAACAACAACAACAACACTACTCATTATCATATAACAATATTGAAACTTATATTTAAAACATATTTTTATTCTTGCTAACATTAATGCAGAGTTAATGCCATCACTATCAGTATTCAAAACACAATCAAATCAATCATCACTATTTTCAAAATAACTCTTCTAATTGATGAATCAGACCTTCATAGTCTAAATGTTGAGCTTTATCATACATTTCTTTCCAGAATTCAGATCTTGCATGGTATTTCCAAAAATCTGCAACACTCTGGGCAATTTGAGTTACTCCATCTTCTTTTCCAAAAGAAAGTTTTGGAAAGTAATCAGGTTTATGCAACATAATATAGATGCTCCGGATAAAACTGATCAGATCATACTCTGGTTTATACACAAAAGATTCATCAATTCTTGCTAGCACATAATCAGCAGCACAATCAACACCTCCAGCAAAAGGCAATGTCTGGTTGCCATCCACACCACATCCCCAATCAATAAGAACAGGTACTCTAGATGTACAATCACGTACAATATTCTGTCTCTGTAAATCTCGATGTCGAATTCCAGATGTATGTACTTTTTGTAAAGTCAAAACAATGTGAGATATATCACCTTTTTGCAAACGTCTAATATTATCACATAGTGGAGTCATAACCAAAGAGATATCATCATGGAGAACCAAGTGTGGAAGACTTGCAGAGTTAAGGGTTGACAATTTCTTCATTATTTCAATTTCAGCATGAAGGTATTTCTGGAATTTATCTGGGTGTTTCAATATTTTAATTGCAACAGACTGTCCCTCATATTCTCCTTTATACACAATACTTGTCTGCCCCACATTCACAAACTGAAGTAACTTTACAGTTTTGTTGTCATATTGCAATTCAGGTTCTATCCAACCAAGTGAGCTGGATTGTTGGCTAAGTAAGGTCACTAACCATCTCCATCCTAGAGGTGGGGTGCCAGTACCTTCATACTTTAAAAATTCACGTGTTGTATATCGATATGTAAATGTTTCATAAGAATTAGGAACCCTTGCTACTTCAAATAATTGTATGTGGTGGCAATCTGTGAGTATTGCAAATACAAAATGTCGCCTTGACTGTAGTTGCAAGACTTTTTCTGCAAATGCTAGCACTTGCCCAATGTCCTGATCGGAGAACCGAGTTTTTCGTTGTGGTTTAATTTCAATTACCATCTCAACATTAAGGGGATCCAACCCATGATCTTCATCTATTGTCACACAATCAGGTTTTCTCGTCAGTAACACTGGAAATTTGTGGGTGTCTTCTACAGAAACTCGCTTATTAGGGAGCTTTGAACAAGCATTAATAAAGTATGCTTGGTAATGTTCCTCTTTACTATCTGTGGGTGGGTTTCGAAAACGTTCTATATCACAGCATTTTGGCAAAGTTGCATTTGTTAATTGGAATGGAAATTTCATCTCTTGGTTGCTCTTCATCACAGCTTCACCCTTTTCACTTTCAGTCAATGTGCCTATAAAATTGTATCATGAGGCTTATAATCCAGCAATAGAATCAATATACTAAAAAAGTCAAACATACCAAAAAATGTAAGCAAGGCACCAGAAGGTTGGACCTTGAGCCTCTTCACATCTCGGTTAACCTCCTCAATATTTCTTTTGAGGGACATTAACATACCTTCAATAGGAGCTAATGGAAATGGATGGAGGGGGAAAAAAGAGGACAGTAGGAAGTTAAGAAATCAGGTTGTAGCAAGTGTGATGGGATGAGTAAATATAATGTCTACTCTATGTCCCCAATGCCTGAGTCCCTATGTCTTGTCTTGCAATAGCATTGCCATGTCTACTCTACCTATGTATATGTACACACTACTCTATGTCCCCAATGCCCGAGTCACAAAGAAAAACCTATTAATACATCTACTCTATCCTATGTACACACTACTCTATGTCCCCAAAACGCTCGAGTCACAAAGTCGTTACCTGGTTGAGCAGTTGCAGTTAGCTTGTCTCCCCACTCCTGGAGCTTCGCCTCCCATTTATCCCTTCTTTCCTTCAGCTCATTATGCTCCTTCTCCAGCTCTGCTCTCTCGCCCTCCCAGTCTTCCTGTATGTTTCTTCTTCTCAGGTCGTCCAGCCTGTCCAGCTTCTTCGTCACCTTGTCATACTCCTCCTTCGCATAGGTGTATGCTTGCTCTAAGATGCTCATGTTGGATGTCATTTCTCCCACTTGTTCATTTGCTATGATAGAAAGATGTGATCTAATACTGGTGGCTTAATCAATGACGTAATTATTTTACGAACATGCAGAGTGACCAATGATATTGACGCGCATTTGCATAGAAGCAAGCACTTTCAGAAAAACCAACCACACAACACAATAAATACCGTTAAATAAGATAAACAAAACATATCAAGCAATTCCATCAATTACACCTTGCGAAAAATATTTACATTCACAGGCGAATTCTTCATCGGAGCATTAATTGGCTTTGTTCTTGGTTTATTAGTAAATTACCTAATCTGTAATAGCCAACTCAATCGTGCTGGCACATTGTTTAAGACTGGAAAGTCAAGAAAGTTACAATTGTTAACAAAACAGTCAACAAATAAAACTCACTCGCCAAACCTTGAAAAATTGTGGAACGATCTAAGACAATTATACGGTAAACGAACCGAATTGGATCCAAAATTTTCCTTTAACAAAATGGCGTTTGATAAGTTGCTTGGTGAAGGAAAGCAGTTGCAGCGTCCACAATACGAAATTTTTACCTGCGAAGAACAACTCCGCGGAAAAATCCATTATGGCAATCCAATCTTACAGATACACTCTCCATCAGCCTTTCTATACTATCCGTAATAATTATAAAATATATAACAATTAAATAAGAATACAACACTTCAGATTTAACAGCTACTCTTAATGGCCTATTAATTTCGTTAATATATATTTTAAGGAATTAACATCGCTGTTTCATCATACAGACGAAGACGAATAATATATCACCGAAGGTCAGGTTCAACAGATGTTCCTGGTAAAACGTAGCGGACGAAGAAATGCCGCTCATGTATAAAATATCTAATACCCGTTATACATTATATCGTAGATTATCTCGTTAATAAGGTTAATTTCAGTCTCAACATTAATATTTCTCTTTCCACTGTAATGCTTTGATTGGATTTTCATCAAGAGTATCCACATTTCACTTCGTGTCTCTATCACACTCCATGGCTCCAATACTCTACTAAAATTTTGGCATAGGTCCCCCTCATCGACGAAATAATATTTTAACTTGAACAGAATAAAGATAAATTCACAATAACAATATTTACAATAACGATACATGGATGATAACGATGGATTCACAATAACTTTTTTGTTGTATATTACGAGTATCAACCTTCTAACGAGCATATTAAACTCTCGGTGTTATACATCGTCTTTATTATTACGAACGCCTTTTCTGTATAAACATAAGGTCTTATAATCGCAATCTTTCTAAACTGAACACTTCTCACGCTTCCCTTAAGATGTTACAACAAAGCATCGATAGACGAATACTCTGCTATTTGTCTTATTAATCGCAAAGAACTTATATGTAAAGTGTCAATTCAGAGAATAATATAATAGCTGAATACTTCTCATGCCCTGCTTATTAATCGCCATGATTTTGTAATAAAATAATTATTCCGTAATATGTCTTATTAGTCACTAGGGAATTTTTACATCAAAGTATCGGTAGAGAACAAAATAATACAATACAACATTTCCAATAATCAATAACGGATATTAATATTTATTATTACGAGAGATGAAGCCACCCCGGGTAAGCAGTTCCACTTCAGTTTTACCTTCAGCAGTAACCAACTTACTTTTTCCGCCTGGGGTTTATGGTCAAGAATTATTCCACACTTTTAACGTCGCACAGTATGATTCCTATAAGGAGTAATCTTCATTGTAAAGACCAACATTAATTCGGTCAGCATTGCGTTAAATCCTATATACAAGTGAAACTCGATAAGCTGAAGGTCGGGGGGGAAGGGACAATTTATTCGGCTTATCGAGATTTTCGTTTTATCAAATTTCGTAATAAGCCGAATTTATATATAGTTTAGACAAGCTTTCGGTTATAACAACACTATATATAAACTTTATTAATGAATACTCGTTTGCTGTAACATATTCTGTTGTTTAGTCTCAATCGTTCTCTTCAACTTTTTTAGATTAGATAAGAAGGGAGTATCAACTTGAAGCTCACTATCACAATCTTGAGTAATATACAGAAGCAAAGAATTAATACAAAGAGATTGTTTTTCAAGGCCAGTCAGCGTCTTTTGGTTTTACTGTTTTATTTCTTGAATCGTTTAAAAATGACATAACATTTGAAGAGCCACTTGTTGAATTTTCTCCACGATCGTTCATTCTGAAATATTAATCAGATAAAAGAGTTAATTGAGACTTTTCCCGTAAAAATATATACAAGCCACGCGCGCATGAGAATGAATCGAGCGATTGTTTATGACATCAATTGCATGTGAAAAGAATTGTCCGTATGTCTGATTTCGATCATGGGATTTAAGAATGAACCAATCAGGATAAATTCACGTGTATATCGAGATAAAATTATTATAGTCGGTTAGCCAAAAATCTTCGGCTTATTGTTTAACGCAAATTTACTAATTAATTTCGGCTGACGCTGGGAAATTAAAAAAAAAAAAAAAAAAAACTTGATGCAATTTCGGCTTAGCGTGACTTCGGCTTATCGAGTTTCACTTGTATAGGATAAATGTGTGGGATTTCTTGACTATAATGTAGACGGGTCATAAAGTTTAGCGCAATTATTGGCCGTATAGTGGATGCCGTTAACAATTGACGACGATTTGTGCATACATTAACGAATTTTTGTACTATAACATGCTATATTGGTCGTTAATTGAATAATTATAGACATCGACACTAGTTTAACTATCCAACCTACAGCGCTGTATGTCCTGCATGTTGCAATATCGCCCGATAACATTATACAAGTCATTCTTTAGACAAACGACTTTTAATATTTTTGGAGAACATCATATGAATGTCAAAAGAGAGTTAGGACAAATAAATTAACAGACCGCAACATTAAAACGGTTTATATGTCGTATGTAAATCCCGTCACTATCGCGCATTCAATATGTAATTCCTGCTAAATATACTTTCTCTATTTTCAATAGACGTAACATCTTATCTAACGTTAAATCTGTGGGTTTGAACTAAGACTACGCTCGGACTTTTATTATTAGACTTGGAATCTGCTCATTTCATCAGAAGTGTCATTCAAATCTCCAACATTGTATGTATCGCCGTCAAAAGAAGAATCGTATGACACATATGATCGACTAATGCTTACAAAAAAATCCGCTAAACTAGGCCAAAGTTGTCGAAGAGAGATTTATAGTAGTATGATTAAACTATACTATTCAAAAAAGTAATTGTAATATTCGATGTATATTGACCATATGCCTGATCATAATCATTCGACAAATTGTTCATACTGTCATATGTTCGTAATATAAATCATTTGACATAGAATAGTCGTTAACTTGTATGACTAGCTCAAAATTGATTCGGACGCTAAAATGTCGATAAACACACTTATGCTTAAACCAATTTTGTTCAAGTCCTAAATACTATGCATCCTCACCAATCGAAGATTATATCTAACGTATTTAGTAACTCAAAGCTCATTTCTTTAATAGATATGTCCATTACATAACTTATGATATGGAGGGGCCACGTTGTTACGCAAAAGCCTAAATAAAGCGGTTGAGTAATCCGTTATGCAGAAGCGTTATCCTGTGCTACCAGCTACAACTTACATACTGCAGCTTGTATATAGAATACGACATCACCGATAAAAGAAAGAGGTTGAATTTTCACGAAATGGATATCGTAGTTGATTTGTCCTCAGGCCTTTCATCAGACTATGAGAAGCTTTACGAAAGCGGCAAATATGCGGATATTTCAATTTAT